CTACGTTAGACAAGAAAATCTATTTTCCTCATTATCACCTTTTTTTTTCAATTTTAAACCCCAGTTGAGACCATATCCCACTCCCCACTTCCTCGATAATTAAATGACGTCAACGCTGTGTACATAAAAGTCACGATACGAAATTTCGTGATATTTTGATAAACTATTCTTAACATAAAATATGGACCTCCGGTTTCAAGAGCACATTTTGTGAAAGGTAGAAATTGAAGCAAACGAATGTAAACAATATAATGTGTGCCGAAAAGAAAATATAAAAAAACGCGAAGGAGGACACAATATAAATATAATATTAACAAAAAAAAAAAAAACAAAAAAACAAAAAAAAACACGAAAATATATACAATATAAGTATACAAATTCCTATGAATATTTAAATTATTAATACAATAGGGTCGTGCATATATAAATATGCAAATAATGAAAAGAAAATATTAAATAATGCGCGAAAGGATACAATATAAATATACAAATACCTATGAAGATTTAATTATTAGTACAATAGAGCCAAGCATATACATACACACCGGGATAATAATCTATTCAAAATTAAAAAAATTAAAAATCCTTGTTAACTTTAAACAAAATTATTCAAAAGAGTCTTCGAGTTTATTGAACACAATATTTCCAAAGTTTTCTCAATTATCGAGTTCCCAAACCTTTCGAATCAGTGAAACGGTTAGAGGTTCTTAAAATTCATGCCTTTTTTTCGCCTACTTGCGCATCTGTAACTTGATTAGCCAGTCGAAGCTCCACGCGAGCAATGAAATTTTTTAATATACCGTTCGTGGGAAAGACACGCTACAAACGTAACGCTTAAACAGCTTTAACGGTAAACTTACGGGTCTTGACAAAAAGCACCAAGATAAATGCTCATTAGCATTACAGCCAGGAAACGGAATGGTCGTTCAATATCCTTGCCTAGATCAATTTTCAACTTTAAATCCTCGAGAACTATTCTCTCTATGCTTGTTAGACGAGCAAAGCTAACATAACGTATATATTACACCCACATTGAATTCTCCAAATCATTGTCATAAGTCAAGCTTTACGAAACCTTTCAAAGGTGGAAAAAGAAGGCCCCACTAAATTTTTTAAACGAAAAGTGATATTGATTCTTTGTCATTTGAATAGCTCCTTAATCGCCTTCGGTTAATACTTTGATCGAGTGTAAGAAATTTTGTTTCCTTTTAAAAACTAGAATAACAACAAATTCTTTAACTGGAGTGAGGTTAATTATCCCTTACCACCCTCTCACTGCACTACTGTATCCAAAGTTTCGTAGCCTAATTTATTAGGAAAATGTAACGAACTTTAGAAAAGATCTAATGACTCCGAAATCACTAATTGTGTTCATGGCCAAGTAATTTTCATTTCGAGAAACTTTCGTGGATAATTATTTCGGAAACACGGCAGAAGCGTCGAATAAAACTCTGGATCCTCGCAGAATGCTCCCTCGTAATAGGAAAACCTAGTGCCGGTTCGGCGACATTCCAAAAGAAGTATATGATGTAACGCAATTAACTCAGCGGCAAAACGATAAATACAAACAAGTTTCCTGAACAACGTTTAAAGAACAGGATCAACGATAGTATTAGTCGTCGCCATGGGAAGCTTGCGAATGAACGCAGTAAAATAGTTGTAAAGACAATTTTTTATTACACACAGGTGTTTGAACTCGCCGAAATCAAGATCACGGTTTGCGAATGAATAACACGAAACCTTTATGGTTTTCCTGTTCTAATATTCAGCGAGTCCTCAGTGACGCGACTAATACTTGGGGTCCATAGACCCCAAATCTTTCCCCTAAATCTTGTGCCGTATTAGGGCACGATGATGTTTCCGACAAAAAATAATCAAGAAATTACGAAGCAATATTCATTAAACTAAACTTTCGCATAAAATATTTCTGATTAAACTATTACGGGACTTCTCCATGTTCACTATTAATTACGTATTTTATTTTTACGAGGGAAAAATGGGTGTAGTTAAAAGAACAATCAGGAATTGACTGAAATTTGAAGATGGCGTAAAGCTTAAGACAAATTTTTAAAATGATACCTTTGCTAAAATAGTGAAGTTCTGGTGATTTATTTTATAGTTGTACGCGCAAAGTGATCCAAAGAATCGACTTATATCATAAAAACATACATTGCTATTAAAATGAATTATCCTGATAATGTAACTCTCTTCGAACTATTCACGTTTGTCCATTAACCCGTTTTTCTAAATACAATCAGGGAAAAGATATGACTCTGCGTGGACCACCCTTTATAGTACCGTTTGCGCGAAAGGAAAAAAAAACGCGAAGGAGGATACAATATAAATATACAATTAACGAAAAAAAAAAAAATAAAAAATAAAAATGCGAGAAAAGATAAAATATAAGGAAATATAAAATATATCGATCCTCTAGCACAAATGGGACACGCTTTGACTCATTGTCATTACCTCATAACAGTATCCTTAGATGCATCGTTAACTTCGATAAATTTTATCGTCAATTTTAAAATCTTTCTATTTTTTAAAATCCGTTAAATAAACCTCCCAAATAAATTGCTATATGGTACATTTGATTCGTTATTGATTATTTCAATAAAATTTTGCCCATCTTCGAGTAGAAGTCGTGTTGTGGGTCGAGAATGTGACCTCGAACACTAAGTTGAGATGTTGAAATCTACTATACATATATAACTGGTCGGTACGATTAAAAAAAAAAATCTGGAGAAATACTTGTTCAATGTAAGTTTAGCAACAATGTGGAATTCCTTCCAGGTTCCCACTCGGGGACTTCCCAATATCCAGTAGTCACCGAGAAATAATTTCTATCTTAACTTTTGGAATCTTTTAGGATTGAGACACATCTGCTTGTCATTGACGTTAGGAGAGGTGAAATTTCATATTCTGAACAATAAACTCTAATTTCTTCCGCCAAGATGATTATCTCTACGTCCGCTAATCAAACGCACGAACTGAAAACATTTCGACACAATAATAGTAAAGTTCACGACCGTGTCAGTGACTGGCGTAATAATGATAATGTAATTTTTCTTCGTCATCCAGGTTTAAATTTTGACAACAGTGTTTCTTAAACTCCTGTGTCCCCTGGTCCACCTCAATAAAAGAAAATATCTGATGAATCTTCTTTCCTAGAGTAGAATTAAATACTTAATTTTTTTTTTAAATAGATTCTTTGAAAATTTCTATATATATATATATTAACTGATTATTATTTAATTAATTAACATTATACTTTTGAATTTGAACTCTGCGTGTTTTTCTTTACACAAGAAGAGAACAGCAATAAATATGAAAAAGATTGCAAGGACTTCCATTTGGAATGCTAACGATTCTATCATTTTATTTTACGAATATGCTAATAAAGTTTGATTAAACCAGAAAGAAAGAAATAATTTTCATCTGAAAGGGAGTATTGAAATCTCAAATAACGAAGCGCAAGCATTGCGGTTGACTGGTGACAAAGCTAATAAAACCATCGTATCGTCTTTTGCGGTTATGGAAGAAGACTAAAAATAGTAGTCAGATGTTAACATAATGCGCATGTATCGTAATAATAGCGTAGAATAAAATAGTAAGTCAATGTAAATATAATTATAATATAAATGTTCTAAAAATACAAAAAGAAATACATACAATAAATAACAATAAATGCTCAAACTCAAATACTAAAACCATATTTCGGATACATAAGCCAAATATTTCCAAGCTTTATTTTTTTTATAAAATAGAGGAACAAAAGCTTTGAAAAATGTTTGTCTAAGCTTTTCGATACTGGTTCACGAAGTAATCCCAGTGGTCGAGACGTCAATGATCTCGTGCATTCGCTATGATCTCTGACGTCAATCGGCCGTTATGAATTATTTCAAAATGTCGATTAAAATTACCGATAGTACCGAAAAGATTATACCAAGTAAAGGTGAAGACAAAATAGGAATACAGGATTTCTATCAGCGTCGAATACTCGATTAATATAAGGCTGTTCATTTGAAAACATTCCCGCCGATAACTCGAAAAGTACGGAAGATATTAAAAAAGTGTAAAACACATTTTCAAGGATTTCGAGGAGGACAGTATCAGTTTTTTATTTGGGTGGCGTACGGAGGGTCACTTGGAGGTCAACTTTATTTTTTTTTTTTAACGGGATAAGGTATTTTCATTACTGTATTTCTTATAGCTGACTAGCTGTGGTCCGCGGTTTCACCCGCGTGGAATACTAACGCTGCAACCCCTTTTTATTCCTTTAGGGGTTGAATTTCGAAATATCCTTTCTTATTTCTTGTATACATCATAAAGGAAATCTCTGTGCAAAATGTCAGCTTTCTAGGTTCAAGGGTTTAGTCTGGACGTTGATTGTAATCAGTCAGGGCTTCATTCTTATAATATAGAAGATAGATGAAAAGACGAACTCAAACATGTATAATATATTGACCTTAAGGTGACCTTGTGAAGAGTTATTCAGAATTTGAGTCGAACATGAAAAACACGAGCCAGACACGTCGTATGAAAAGGCGCAAGGAATTTTACACCTCATTATGCCATTCACGATCCTACAGTCAATCGTAGGTCAAAGGGTTCGTTTTTTTTATCATTTTATATCCCATTTAAAAAAAAAATAAAAAAATAAAAAAAAAACAAACAAACAAACAAACAAACAAAGTTGACATCTAACTGACCTTCCAAACAAAATAAAAAAAAACTGATACTGTCGCTCTTTTTCTCCTTCGGAATTCTTAAAAATATGTTTTACACTTTTTTTTTATATCTTCCGTACATTTCGAGTTATTTGGCTGAAAAGTTTTCAAATCAACGCCCTATATGAACACGAATCAGGAGGCAAGGAAGAACTTAGAATAAGTTCCATAGAATGCGACAAAATAATATTTTGCTTAATATTAGCGAGTTAAGTCGAATCTTGTTATATGTATACTTATAACTCCGTGTTAATAGAAAATAATCATATGTCTGATTGTAACTTATAACCTTAAACAGTACTGCACTTCCTACAGTCATAAACTTCTTAACTACATTTGCAAGTTTTATAAATATTTATGCATACCGTTCGATAAATGGTAAAAAATCATACGAATGTCTTTCAGTATTTAACGTGCTTGTAAAGATTAAAATAATATTGCGTAATAATGATATCGATATAAAAATAATAATTACAATGATAATTATTATCGTTGACAAGTTTACATAAAAATATACATTACAATTTGTTGTATTCGATCGGTGAAATATCAAGTTCAGTCCTACTAAAAAGAAACTCGTAGACAAAATAACAATTGGTAGAAATAATTGTAGTCTTATTTAAGGAGATTCTATTTGTCCAGTTCTGTACATTTATGAAACCTGAGAAAACCATATTACTGAAATTTCATAGTAGTTGTGGTGAAATACAATATTATACAATGTAAAACGTTAAAAACAGCTTGCAATTGATGCAGGAAAATCTCAGGCACCTGTATTAACGTAATTATGTTTTCACAAAACAATTCTTATGAATATCGTGTAAATATCTAAGTAAACGTTGATTATTAATCAGTTAAATAAAAATACACGTTCGTCTGGAATCTCAAAGTTGGTAGCATTATACCACAGTTTACAAAGATTTCATTTCTGTAAAATATAGATACCATCTTTTTTAGTTGACTATAGCGTTCTAAATGCAAGAAATGCAAAGATATTTGTATTGGCAATAAGCAAAGAGTTTGCTTAATTTCAAGAGTTTGCTAAATTAATGTACCGCTTTCTCGTTTCCGTCATGATTGAGCGATATTAAAATCCTGCATATTTTTACACGAAACAAATCGTACATGTTTCAAGAGTTTAACAGTAGCATATAAATGCTTAACTTATCTGTACGAATCTAGATAATATTTTATCAGAATAGACAAGAATTAACCATTGATTGACACGGTAGTTATTCGAAATGAAGAAAATCTATTTATTGCCAAATGTTCCTGTTCTAAAGCATCACAAAATCCCGACCTGTATTAGACTTTTCACTTTCTGAACTTTCACTACCTTCTTCGCGGTCTGCAGACTCGGACAAAGGAAGCTTTTTATCGTCAGTAGATGAAATTTCTTCATTTTGAGTATATTCTGTATGTAATTCTTTTGTACTAAGTTTGTCTTCTCTGCAAAAACAAAGGCAACAAATATATATAGAGATTATAATAAAATCATATTAGAAAAAGTATGGAAAACTTGTTACTGTGATTTTTGACGTACGAATTAGTCGATGTTGCCTCGTCAGAATCGAAATCTTTTTCCTTCTTTCTTTTCTTTTTATTAAGTTTTTTATCAGAGTCTGATGTAGAACCATAGTAATCGTACTGAAAATAAATGTATGTACAATTTGTTCCACATAAACAGTGAGCAATTAAAAATTGATATAAACCTGATAAAGGGGCCAAAACGAAGCGAAGAATCCAACATCTGCTGTCAAATTAGGGAAAAGCCAGAGGTGACATCTGCCGAGTGTTGGAACCCAAAGAAGACAGAACACAATTAATCTAATAATTGCTAATGCCAAAATGAATATGAGTAAACCAGCAGCTGCAACACTTATATAATATACACCAAGACGGATTGTTGATGGCCATAATGGAAAGAGACAGAGACCAATTGCACCTAATACTACAAGTGTTCCAAAGAACCAGTAGTAGACTTGGATTGGCTCATATATCCAAACATAAGCATCGTTACAGTCAACAAAATACTGTTCCATGTGCATTTCCAAACGTACCTGAATTAACCAAGACTCGCTTAAATCATATTCTACTCCATTTTCTACATAACACTTATATTATTTTATAAACACTCAAAGAAAATTTGTAATTATTTAACCTATTAAACTTACTTTTGGTTTTTTCTTTTTCTCCTCACTTTTGTCTTCTGTATCTTTTCCACCTGTTGCATCTTTACTTTCTTTGGACGACTCATCCTTCTCTTTTTCATTAGGTTTCTTTTCTTTTTTAACCTCTTTAACTTTTTTCTTTATTCCACGTATCTTACACAACTCTTCTTCAGAAATCACTACTTTTTTTGCTCTATGAAAGAATTTATGTTGTAACATCAAATCAAGGAATTCTGTGACCTGTTCGCGTGTTTCAAACTTAGTTTTGCTCCATGGCGAGTTTTCCAACAGAGCATCCACGGCACGAGTGCCAGTGAAGTACTCAACATTGTGGCTCCTGTAAAATTTTGTTTTCTTCGATGGTACATTGTTACGAATCCATCTAGCCACTACATATTCGTCTTTAGATGGGTTGTCTTGAATAACTTCATTGTCTATATTTGACACTTCCTGTTGTGGGAAACAAAGCTTTTATTTTTGACGTTTTTATGACGTTTTACATACTATTTCCACTTATTTAACTTATGACCGCGATATTGGCTGTCAATTAACTCCATATTTTGCATTGTAATACAAATGTTTATGTAAAATTTGCCGCGTTGAAAGAACTCAGAATAGTAGAAATTTCGACGATGCAGATGGTGACTTGAAGTGTACACGAAATATAATTGCAACTAATACGGGACTTTATGCAGGAAATACTTCGACACAGCTGTTAAATTTTTATAAATAAGAAAGTAAACAATTTACAATGATAAAATCAGTTGTATAATTAAGATCAATGCAAGAATTTTAAATAGATAGTATAAGTGATGTGTTTGCTACGTCATTCGATGGACTCCGTTGAAATAGTTATTAACAGTGACACGTGTCTTAAAGAAATAAAATAAAATTAACCTAACACAAAAACGAGCGTTATACTTCCGGTTACCAAATAAACAAAACAACACACATATACGATTTAATAATTTCGTAATAATTGCAGCCATATGCGATGCTTACATCTTTGCGCTTCCTGCTTTTCCTGCGTTCCGCCATGTTGTAAATTCCGTTTTGCGCTTGCGCACTCAACCTTATCTACTAATTAACACAGTGTTCCTCAAATTTCACCTACTTTGGGACCTTCTCAATGAAAGAAAATTTTTCGCGAATACTTCTTCACAGTAGAGTTAAAAGAATAAATATGAATAGAATGATAAATCTACTTGCAACTTAAGAGACGGCTCGAAGAAGAACTATATATCAAAACACTACATTCGTGCAAAAATTAAGAAAGAAAAAAAGACTAATTAATAATAGAGATAGAGTCACCTAGATTATATCGTACTACTCACATATATTTCCTTAAATTCTTATTCCATTAATAAAAAGTAAAATTGTTAAAGAAAAGATGTATTTATATTTTAACAATTCTTATCTAATTTAAATGGTTTCTTAACTCAAACTTTTTATATGTTGTTTACTAAAACAATACACGAAAGTAAAAATGAAGAATAAAGTAGTCGAGTTACGTTGGTTGCCCTGAAATTTATTTAAAACCATACGATAATACTCCTAAGATAATGAATTTTATTTTAATATTTTATTACACGATACATGTAATTTTTTCTGAGAGCTTGATGGCCTTTAAAGGTCACGGACTACAGTTTGAGAATCACTGCATTAGCAGAAGCAACAAACGTATGTAGCATGTGCTTCTGAGTAACTTGTCAGTACCTGTATATACATACTGCCGGCTTTCAGTCACAAACGAGGTATAGAATAGATTTGTGGGAAGTCATTTGACGGGAGCTGGTACTCAGACCACATTTTATTCAAAGAAGACTATCATTGAACTGAACTGCCATCTAGCAAGTATCTTGGACGTTTTACCGATGATGAAACAATTTACCGACCGAAACTTTTAAAATTCTTCGACCAGTTCGTCGCTAAATGACACACCATGTATTGTTCTAAGTGAAAGCGCGCGCAAATTTGTATTTGCATTTGTTTAAATATTACTTACAATCACGGTTCGGAACAAGTATTCATTCAAGCTTGATTTATTCTATTATTAAATTATTCAGTTTTCAATTTTATCAGTCGACACAAACAATTCGCTTCTTCCTATATAAGCGGATGTATTATCCAGTGCTGAAGGAAGTATTTTTTATTCCTAATTTGAAACTAAACGCCTCTTAGAATTTCCAACAAAAATTGTTCTACAGTCAAAGGGTTGGTTACCGAGGAAGATTACAGCCAATTAGCTGATATTATTTGTTATGTAATTGATAATGTTATCACTATGTTACTGGTGATGAAATTAGCAATTCCATACTACAAATAATATCGAGAACCCAGGTCTCACCAAGTGGAGGTTGCTGCATATAGAGACCCACCTTAGGATGAAAGGTATGTGTTACATGGCCACATCCCAACCACCCTCATTTTATGAGGATGCATGCACTACCAAATTTTTGTAATATCATCATGGTTAGACTGAGACATAAATCAAGAAGGAAATTTCCAAAAGAATATAGCTTGGAAATGAGAATCGCGATTACAAGTCATTCTAAAACTTTACTATCAATACAAAGTAAATGAGGCTTCTTTTTCTATATATAAACATTCAGGATATGACAAATTTTAGTAACCTCTTTCAACAAGCAAAACATTTTAATGTATTCATTCAAAATATAAAGAAATACAGAATCTCTAGTTGGTTAACATACTTAGTATTCTCATACAATGAATTAAAAATATACTATTCAATTCATCATCAAAAGTAATAGAAAGATTTATGGTTTTATTTCCAGTTTTCAAGGAGTTTATGAAATATATGTAATTTATATTATTATTTTAATCCTTTTCTGTCTATATTTAAAATGACATTTAAATAACGTTAAAATATAGTTGAAACTCAGAAATCCGTTAGTTTTAATATTCTATAAAACTTTTATATAAACCTATAAATGAATAAAAAAAAAATGTGCTTAATACTTCTCATGAAAGAATATACATGGATATATGTAAATATATTCATACATACTTTTTGATACGACGGAGGCACATTTACCAGATGATATTATTAATATAGTGGCTATACTAACATAGTTAGTTTAGAAGTGGAAATCTTTCTAGTCATAAATGTAGTTTCAATATTTTCTCTTAATCAGTTTTCTTTCTTCTTCATATACATTCAACTAATTATATTTAACAATTATTTTAATTTACACGTATAAAGTATTCTTGAATTATGTGATCACTCTTTACCCCAATATTCTACTAATAAAAAAGTTATATATGTATGATAATTAGTGATAAGAATGATAATATTTGTTCTTTATATCGGACACAGTGATGTTTGCCTTCCTAGTTTGAATGCTTCCTCTATCAAGAAACTTTGAAATGCTATGAAATAAAGAAACTATTTGCAGTTCTATGTTTAGGTGACAGTTTTTCATTAGAATCATTAGTAAAATATACTGGTGAAGTTTGATCAGTTTTGAGAATACCTTAGTATGTATCTTATGTAGTACATTACACTATATTACATTATATATAAGTTACATTGTAGATACTAGGAACATAAAGTTCACGTCATTTAAAAATTCAACAAGATATTACAATTTGATTGGCACTATTTATTATGTAATTTGTTCAGTTGGAGATTTTGTGGAACTTATATCAATAGTATGTAGAAATGCTATTGGATCAAAATGAAGTTGACCTAAGTTATAGTATTTTTCTTCATTTTGGTACCATTTTCTAACATCGAAGTCTTTAAAAAATATTGCAACTTCCCGTTCTACTGATTCTGTTGAATCTAGAAACATAATGTTGGATTAGACATAGAAACAATTCTACAGAAATTTATATAAAAGTTACCATACCAGATCCATGTGTTGCATTTCTTGTATCCGATAAACCAAACATTCCTCGAATTGTGTCTGGTGCAATATATTGTGCTTGATAAACTTTTGTGGGACCCATTAGTTTTCTCCACTTGACAATAGCATCATAATCAGCTAAGATGTGAATGTCAGATGGACCACTGCACATAAACGTCAAGAGACGATTAAAAAAAAATTTTTCCTTGTGTTCAGCATAAAATAGTTCTGCTTCTTTTTGTGTAATTATTGTTCTGCGTGATCTGACAATTTTGAAATTATTGTCGATTATTAAATCTCGAATTTTCTGAAAATTTAAACAATACTTAAGTTGTAATATCCTGATTTTATATCAAACTGACCCTTGTTTCAATACAGCTTTCTTACTACTTAAAAATTACGTCTAGAGACAGGTTATGGTCAAAAGTTGGGTTAAGTTTCCTTACTTGAAGAACAAAGGGAGATTTAACAACATGAGGCTTGATTATTGCCAACGTTAGTTGAAGATGCTTTTTCAATTGCATATTATCATTCCTTAACTACACTTTTTATTGAACTCGAAAAATGTCATTATGCAACGAGAATGATTTTAAAGTCTTCGCTAAGAACCATCATATATTTTTGTAATATAACTCTTCAAACAAGATATATAATAATAATTAATTAAATTTGTGTATTGAATCTCGTCTATTTATGACTCGTTACTAAAATCGTTACGAAAGATCGTTATTTACGCGTCAAACTTTTAAAATCAATTTGAAGATTCATTAGGTATTTTCTACAATAAATTATGTAATTTATGTAATCTATAAGATACATTACTATTTATATAAAACTTGTTTAAAGTATTTTGAATTACATTGAAACCTATAAGGTTATTTCAAATTATATTGAACAGTACTTATTTTAATAAATCGAAACAATATCATTTTCAAATAGATGTCAATATTATACATTTGTGATGATTAAAAATGCTTTTGTTTCACTTCATATAGAGTGTTTCAAAATTGTATAATGGACAGCAATGTGTACATTTATCATACTAAGAGAAAGCAGAAAGTCATACCATTTTGCAAATTGAAGCTATGTTTTGATAATATAATAATATAATCAATTGATCCTCGTGGCCTGTTAAATTTAGTACTTCAAATTTTATACGTTTCTGGGTAGAGTGGCAAGCAATTTTATTTGTTATTCGATATTTTTCTACATTTTATAAATTTTGTATATACTCGTACTGTTATTCATCTTCTCATACTATTCAGACTGTTGCTAAATGTTGGCCTGATATTGTATTTTTCATTTTACAAGTTAAAGCGGATAAGCTGCATACCTTCACATAAATAATTGAATTATAAATAAAACGTTTCAATAAAAAAAAAAAAAAAAATACTTTCAAAGAACGGTACAAAGAACAAGATAACAATGCTGATAAGTCTTTTTTGTTTTATTATTCGGTAATATAAGATACATTGTTCGACAAACGATAATACAGACATACAATACCCAGCAATTCGTTTTTTGTGTATTTACAGTGATGTCGAATGTACTCCCACATCATTCACTTTCTTAGCTATTTACAAAGTATTAATTGATGTTTATGTTTATTACATTATACCAACTGGAACCATAGGTCCATGGAATTCGACTGACTTCCTTTTTTCTCTCGTCCTTTCTATCTTTCTTTCTTTTTCATACACTCTACCTGACTTGTCATTCTGTTTCACACTCACGCATGCACGCAAACATTGTCATTACAAAAATTGGGCGTTGATACAAGCAATTGAATGAAAAAATGCTGGAAACGTTTCAGCAAGTTTCTCATGCGCGATTATTTCCGAGAAAAAGTGGAAAGTATGAGAGATACGTGCATAGGCAACCCATGGGTAGAGTAATCTTTAGAACCGAACAAAATTGCAAAACTTTGGAGTATGATAAATTTCTTAAGCATGGCCGGTTTGCCACAGTCGCATGGGAAACTTTGCTTTGACAAACGATGGGCACAAAGTTTCAAGGAAATACTTATTATCGTGTTTTTTTTACTATCCGTCTTTGCAATTCTTAAAGTGGCTCGATTTGTACAATTATGTGGAGTGATTTACAAATTGGAGTTAGGAGATCAGGGACTGCGAACATTATTGTTCTCGTTATCGCTAATCTAATCTTCCAAGGATCGGCTCATTCCTCGATTG